GCCCCTCGGCGCCCGCCCGCCGCGGCCCCGCCCCCGCCCCACCCGGCCGGATTGGCTCTCGGCAGCGGCTCGACCCGCCCCCGGCCGAGCCTCATTGGACGCCGCGGAAGTGGCGGTTCGTCGGAGCCCCAGGGGCGGGGCTTTCAGCGGGAAGGGGCGGAACCTGGACCAGGCGGGAGTTCCCCTGGCGCCCTCCGGACCTGCGGGGCTGGCGCGTGGTCCCAAGGCCTTCCTGGCCGTGACCCCAGGCAGCCTCTGCTGCGTCGTCTGCCGGGCAGGGTTCGTGGCCCTCCCGGAGTTGCTCTGGGAAAATGATGAAAGGAGAAAATGGATGCACGCTTTCAGCGACACAAAAGCTAGTGACCATGGACAGCGCTGGCCCCGAGTCAGTCGGCCGCTACGGAGACACTGCCACCTGCCCGAGGCCAGTTCTCATTCAGGGCGAGTTCAAGGACTTATTTTTACTAGTTTTGGTACAAGATTCATGTTCCTAAACTCAAGACCGCATATAACTCCCCCTTCCTTGCTTACTTTCAGTCCGGCATTAAATGGAGACATCTCAGCTTCACTCAGCCTCACCTCCCTTGCTCTCAGGCTTCCATCCCCAACCCCATTCTACCAGGGGATACTGTCCATCCTTCCAAGTCCCATTCTAAATCCCACCTCCTGCAGACGCTTCCCAAATTCCCCCACTTAGGCCTGCTGCAGCGTTCTCATTTTCTATTTATTTTCTGGTCCTTAGATAACCCCGTCAATAGAGAGCCTTGCTTTGCTCCCCCTACTCCTGGCCTACTTCAATGTAAAAACCCGAGTACGGGCTGTGCTCTGTTCCTCAGTCCCCAACCCAGATCATTATGCTTATCTGTTGAGCACAAGAGCCCAGACTTTTCAGCCTTCCAACAGGCGACGATGAATTTCAGAATGATCCAGAAAAACAGGATACATCAGGAGGTCCATAACTGAGTCAAATCTTTCTTCAAAAAAATAACCGCACAATTGAGACATAAGATCCACCATGTAAACTATCAGAAGGCTCACTTATGCTCCAGGAAAACTTGGAGTGCATAACTGTGCCCTGGGCAAGGCTGCGGGCTGTACCACGTGGGCAATCAGGCCCTGGGTGCTCTGGCCGGGCACTGCAGGCCATCAAAGACACACCAGGCTTCCTGCTCCTCAGGCTGCCCTCAGCACTCCTGCAGAGGCTATCTGTGCTGTGGTGATTGTCATTAGCTTGCTTATGTAATTGTTTTGCATTTATAGAACCAAGCTTCTTCTTCTTCTTCTTCTTTTTTAAGTTGGAGTCTCACTCTGTCGCCCAGACTGGAGTGCAGTGGCCGCTCCCGGCCACCACAGCCTCGACCTGCTGGGTTCCGGCAATCCTTCCGCCTCAGCCTTCCGAGTAGCCGGAATTACAGGCGTGCGCTATCATGCCCAGCTGATTTTTTGACTTATTGTAGAGATGAGGTCTTGCCAAGTCGCCCAGGCGGGTCTCGAACCCGCGGACTCAGGCAATCCGCGCACCTCGGCCTCCCAAAGTGCTGGGATTACAGGCTGAGCCACCGAGCCCGGCCTTAGAACCAAGCTTCTAAACCCCTTTAAAGCATCTGCGACTGCAAGGTCAGCTGTTGTAAACCTGCCATGTATTCAAGTCCAGCAGAATCTTCTCCAAACCAACCAAAACACAAAAATAAACAGGATGCTAAAACCAATTTTAACTCAAATTTTGTATTGATCAAACCAGATTCATTTTCTTTTATCAAGGAATTGTTATAAACTTGAATTTATATAACAAATTAAAACTAACAAAATAAGCTGGGCTCGGTGGCTCAGCCTGTAATCCCGTGCCTTTGGGAGGCTGAGGTGAGTGGATTGCCTGAGCCCACAGGTTCGAGACCCACCTGGGCAACTTGGCGAGACCTCATCTCTACAATAAATCAAAAATCAGCCGGCCGTGGTAGCACACCTCTGTAGTTCCGGCTACTTGGAAGCCTGAGGCGGAAGGATCGCTGGAGCCCAGCAGGTTGAGGCTGCGGTGGCCAGGAGCGGCCACTGCACTCCAGTCTGGGTGACAGAGTGAGACTCCAAGTCACACACACAAAAAAACAAAAACAACAAAATAAACTTTTTTGAGTTGGAGTCTCACTCTGTCACCCAGGCTAGAGGGCAGTGGCACGATCATGGTTTACTGCAGCCTCAATCTCCTGAGCTCAGGCGATCCTCCTGCCTCAGCCTCCTGAGTAGCTGGGACTACAGGCACACACCACTGCGCCTGGCTAATTTTTAAATTTTTTTACAGAGATGGAGTCTCACTATGTCGCTCAGGCTGGTCTCAAACTCTTGGGCTCAAGCAATTCACCCACCTTGGCCTCCCAAAGTACAGGGATTATAGGCATGAGCCACCACGCCTGGCCAAAATAACCAATTTTATATCCACTTTACATATTGGGATTCAACAAAAAAATTTAACTTGGGGGGGGAAAAGCTGTATTTCAGAAAGTTAAAGCCGACCACTATCAAGGAAGTTTTAAGATGAAATGACCTTAACTGGGAGAGTTAGGAGATAAACCATCCAGCAGAGGGCTCTGTGTAAAAGCATTTATTTTTACTAATGTTTAGAATACAGGAACTAAAGGAAGAAGAAAAAAAAAAAGACACCTCAACTCCAAAGCGACAGCGAGTTAGGGCCTGCCCACGGCCAAGGGGGAAGGCTACTCAGAGCATCGTGGCATGGACTGCCCCCTCTGCTACTTAATGTCAGTGCCACTAAGCAGAACACTTGAGGAATTTGGGCGTGAAGACCTTACCAGCTGCTGGCGAGCGTGCAAGGGAAGAAAGGGATGTCTAAGTAGCTTCCCCATGACCCAGGAGCCTGGATACACAGGGTGGGAGGAGAGGCTCCTGATTCAGTTAAGGGCAGGAGGCTGAATGCCCAGGTTCGGGAAGAACAAAAAGGGGATTTTGGAGGTAGGCTTTTTCGTCATGTTAAAAAACAGGCACATTATCCAACGTCTCCCTGCGGCCCCCAAGCTGCTGGCCCGGCCCCCATGCTTCCTCTCTCTCCACAAAACCAAAGGGAACAAGGAGGGAAGCAGAAGACGGGAAGTTCCAAGGGTGGAGAACACTTCGGTCACTGGAGACTGCTGTGAGAGCGAGCCAGGAGCGCACAGGGAAGAAAGAGGAGCAGCTGCTCCTCCCCGCGGTGGGTGTAGTAGGGCAGGGCAGAGCCAGGAGGTGACCGAGTGTCCAGGCCCAAGCAAAGGACCCTGTGTAGCAGGAACACGCAGGAAGAGAGGGCCGCAGAGAGCCTCCAGAGGAGCAAGGCAAGGATAAGCCGCACAAAGGGCATGGAAAGCTCGCGAGCAGGGCTTCAGCCTGCTCACTCCAGCTGCTACTTTGCGTGAGGAGGCCCCGCCCGGTTCGCCTCTGGGGGAAAACCCGGGAGACCAGGGTGGAGGCAGAGCAGAGAAGTGAGCTGCTCCCCACTCTTTCTCGGAGGACACTGTGTGAACCCTGTGATCACCAGGGCCTGGGCCCAAGGCAAGCAGAGTGAATGCACTTCATGGAGAGCAGAGAGAAGCTATGCCCACAGGAACACCTCGGGGCAGTGTGTTGCTCCTTTCTCCCTGAGGGCCTGGGGCCAGAGGCGGTCAGAGCGGCTACCTCAGCTTGCTGCTGCCAAAGGAGGTTGGCACAACCACCCCAAGGTTCTCTGAACTTGTGAAAGAGGGGAAGGGAAAGGTGGGTATGAAACACAAGGTGGAGGAGAGAAACAGCCTTAGAAGATACGTGGGGGGCAGTGGTGGCCACATCAAGAGGAGTTCTGGTTCTGGTAGATGGAAGCTTTTTCCTTCAACAGGTCCAGACACAAGTGGCAGCTCCAACTTCCTGCAGAGAAGCAAAGTGGGGTCAGGCGGGGTCCCACACAATCCCCATCTGCTGGCTGTTCTTTCCCTCTCCACGCCCCATCTGCAGCAGCAGGACTGGCCACTGGTAGGATGGGGAGTATTCTGCGGTAGGAAAGTTTTATGGTTATCTTGAACCGGGAGGAACCTCCAGGTCTTCCAACATCGTGAAAAACCATCATCGGAGGAGATGAGAGAGATAACCATCTGGGGAACTGTTTCAGAATACAGATACTCAGGCCCTCCCGGCCCTATTAAATCAGAAGCTCTGGGAGCAAAAAGAGGGCCTGGGTGGACAGAAGTTTCTAAAGCACTCTCGTTTTAGACCTGTGATTACAGAAGAACCAAACCCGGTTCTCATGGCTCCAAAGGTTAGGTTGAAGATCACGAGCAAAAGCTTTGGAGAAACCAGTGTTGACTCCACATAAGAGTTTTCTGTGAAAATCACTGCGAGAGGAGAGGGGGTTCCACCCTCACTGGTGTCTGAGCAAGAGCTGAGGACCCCGTCAGAGGAAAAGGATTGAACTATGATCTTCTACCTGTTACGACCTGAGTCTAGTTTCCTTTTAAAAAAAAAAAAAAATATATATATATATATATCATCCCTTATAAGAAAAACAACTGGCTCATATCTTGTTTATTAACATTTTCTGTGGTTAAGAAACAAAAGTAGCCCTTAATGCCTTGAAAATTAGAAGCATAATCACACATATGTGCATCTGGACATTATTCTAAGGGAAAGGAGCTACAGCTTTTATCGGCTCTTCAGAAAAATGTGACTCAAACATGTAAGAGGCTGAGGTGGGAGAATCGCTTGACCCCAGGAGGTCAAAGCTGCAGTGAGCCATGATCATGCCACCACACTCCAGCCTGGGTGACAGAAGAAGACCCTATCTTAAATAAATAAATAAACAGGTAAGAGGAAGGCCTTTTCTAACCCAAAAGTCATGAGCAAGGGTGGCAAGCTTTTCTGTAAGGAGCCAGAGTGTTAACAGTTTAGACTTCGTGGGTCAGAGTCTCACTCATATTTGTTAGAAAACTCCTTTTTTTTTTTCTTTTTTTGAGTTGGAGTCTCACTCTGTCACCCAGACTGGAGTGCAGTGGCCGCTTCCAGCCGCCGCAGCCTCGACCTGCTGGGCTCTGGTGATCCTTCCGCCTCAGCCTTCCAAGTAGCCGGAATTAC